GTCCTCTACAACTTACATGGTCCTGCCAATATAAATGCCATATGCTAGGGTTTCAGTGAAGCTCATGACATTCTTTGTCTTATTGCCAGTCAACAGTGCTACTACTGTTAGCTCGTTTCTCCTCCCATCTAATGAGATTAGGCTCCAGCTGGCTTAGGAAAAGCCATTTGTTGGGATATGAGACTAAGGACTGTGTTTGGATGGCTTAAATCACAAGTCCCCAGCTGTAGCAAGTTCCCTGCCTTGATGAACGCATTCGATCTCAAGCAATCTTCACAGGCCCTGCGGGTCAGCTCAAGAACTAAGCCTGAATCAGGTCTTCAGTTCCTTCTTCAAAGCTTAATTTCTTCCTGCTCCCTGAAGCATCTGCGCACCTTGTATTTGTTGTGTGAAGATTCTGCACATTCAATTCGTCTCCCTGATCATCTCCAACCAAACCCCTGCCTCTCTTTTAAGTTATACTTCCTCTGAGTTGCTGACCAATTCTATCTTTTCAGGATTTATTATTAATCTTAGTAACAGTTCCTCAGTTGAAAATGAGCTACTCCATTCTGTTGTAGTTCTTCGGCTGTATCTGATGAAAAATACAGCATGTGCACACTTTATGGTAGAGGACCTCTCTTGTCTTCCACAGAGGTGCCACACACCTCCACATAATTGCCATTTAGGAGCATTCATTGTGTGCTAATGCTCGACGCACAGCCATTTCTAAAAGCTTTTGAGCTCTAGAGACATCAAGCATTACCTTGGCCTGCTTTCAGGCTAAGTATTCTTTGACAGACAAGAGTTCCAGTAGCTGTATCACGAGAGGTGCGCGAGATGTACGCTGCAATTCCAGCAAACCATGAACTGTAAAGACCCAAAGTTTCAGAGGGGAATTTATTGTATGGGAGCATATCCAATATCTTTTGTCAACCATCCATGAGAATAATAAAAAATAGAAGCTTTTTAAATGACAAAAAATATAGTTACATATAATACAGATTTTCATCTTGCATTGAAGCAGAGCAGTAATAAAACGCTCACTTGTGTTTTCACAGTTAGTTTGCGTTGCTTCTCTAGGTTAAAGCATCAGCAACTCAAATCTTCCAGTCAGAACTCCTAGTTAGTAGTTTCACGGGGTGATCGTGAGGGTGAATATTCTCTGCATCTTGATACCGTTTACAAACAGAGCAGGCATACTTGAACCATCTCAGAACTACTCACATTTTCAGAGGTACCAGCTATGCTCGAAACCAGGCATCCTTGCTGCAACTGAAAGCTTTTTGTATCCGAACATGCTTTTAGGCCCAATTCAGAAACACATCTATGGAAAACTCAAGAATGTGCTTAAATCCCAGCTGGTTCAAAGGGCTCCAAGCTGATCCTTTGTGATCACCTCTGCTTGTTCTGCCCCTCACAAGCACTGCGCGCTGGCGTGAAGCACTAACCAGTTTTTGATCACGTGTGCAAGTTGCTTGCAAGACCACAAAGGATTCGAACATTCTTCAGCACTCCATTTACCTGAGACCTAAACGCATTCACTGCATGCATACATTTATGTATATACTACACACACTTACCCCAACCCCTCCCCCACAATATTATTGCAGTAATTCTTTGCTGGTATAACAGTTTATATACCAAGTTTCACTTATTTAGTTTTCTATAAACATAGAAAAAAACATCTGAAGAGAGCTAGAACAGCTTTCAATCAGTCACTATATTGGCATTGAAAGCTTTATTTTGAAAACTTTAAGCAGCAATACTGAATAAATAGACAGAATGATTGTTTTGTCATCTCCATACAACCGATGGCCTTCATCCAAAACATTAAAATACTGTAGCAAAGAGAATAAACATGCATGTTTCAATGTTCTAAAAAAAAAAAAAAAAAAAAAGTAATATAAAAGTAACACTTTGACACTTATTTTAATACAGTACAGACCATTAGAGACTATTTTTCTGGAAAAAATATCTGAATACAGTTTTGTTATTTACATGGATCATTAAGGCCCAATTCAGTCAAGTTAATGCACGTCAGGAATTTATATTCTTCAAGATAACTCACTAAAAATTACAAGATCAATTTTTTTTGCTCATACTCATATGATCCCAGTTCACTAAAATAATGCAATACTCTCTGCGCTAAAAACAGGACAATTATTGCCCCAAGAGGAGATTTTTGTTTCACTAAAGGATCTTTTCCCTCTTACCTTGCAATGAAAGCATGTTTGCATATTGCTAATGCTAGTGGTAGTTCTCTTAAGAACTTCCTTCCAACTTGCTAGGGTTTAGAAAAGCAAGTAATCTCAAAGCTAACATACCATTTCCAGAAGCAATTCAGGCACTTGGGAACCTAAGTCCCACTGAAAGATAATGGGAGGTAGGTTCCTAACTGACTTTCCAGAGTGGGACTTGGGTTTCTCCCTTGCTCGAGCATTCAGAATATTTACCTTAGCCTTAACCTACTGGCTTTTCCAACGCTCAACCCCCCTTTTTCCCCTAACAACATAGCATCACCAGCAAAAATAAACTGTATCCTCATGGATGAGAGAGGTAACACAGTTAATTTCCATTAGTAATAAATTATGGGAGTTCTCCATATAAATTCCCTGTGCACTGGAAAATAGTGCTTGTGTATTCAACTATTTAATGCAAGCAAAAAACCCCATTTTTATCATGCTTGCCAGTAAATAATATGGCACTTGTTAAAATTAGTTACGTGTAGCTTCCTTTCTGCTAATGCCCCATAAGTAGGTTTGAAACTCTTCTAAAAATTAATTTTTCTACATTTGTAAAGAAAGAGTGAGGTTCTGCAGTTGATCAGAAGCAAAACTCTTAACGCCATTAATGTGAGGAGTTTCTATAACTGTAATACATTGTTCAATTCACATTTAATGCAAGGGCATGCCATTTCTTTTTGGTCTATTTACAGAGAGAGTGAAAATGCTACAGAACTTTAACCTGGGTGAAATTCAGTAAGCGAGAGGAGCAGGGGAATTTGTCAGTGTCTCACAAACGACAGGTTAGGATACCAAAGCCTCTCCTTTGCCACAACAGTGGCTGAAGCTGTAAACGTTTTTCAGATCACCTTGACATATGCTAAAGCCCTGACGAGGAAGGTCCACTCGATGATGATGCAGTGGCTGCTCCTGAGCCAGCTCCAGGCTGGCTCTTCTGTCAAACAGCTGCTGCAATTAGCAGACGCTATTTTTTAACTTAAATGGCAAATTCCTTCCTTGATTCTTTTACAAAACTGTAACTCAAGCCCTCCAAAGCTGCTCTTCCCCTTCCTTTTAATCCTTTTCCTCCTCCCTCCATCTTAAAGAATAACCTGGTAGAGAGAGCAGTTTTTATGATACAAGGGCCCAATTCAGCTCAAACTGGCATATCTGTGGGAGATGGACCAGTCACAAAGTGGGACAAAAACATTGGGTAAATACGCTGATCTGCCTTAAAAATACTTCATCTCAGTCCAAGACTGAAATTGCAACAGGTTTTTCCTTGTGTTTCTCCCCACCCCCATGCAGCATAATTTGGGCCAGACTTTGCAAGGTGCTGAGTGCCTCAGTTCTCTAATGTCAAGAGGTGCTGAAGACGCAAGATATCCACTGGAGAGGGCTGTTTCATTTCGGTAAATTGAACTCAGAATGTAAGGCATTTATACTCAAGTACCTTGGACAGATATTGTCCCCAAACTATGTATATTTTACACATTTTTTTAATATATATATATGCACACATTTTTTTTTTTTTTTTTAAATACAAAGTTATGGGCACAGTAAACATGAGCACAGAATTATGATAAACTAACAGTAAAATCTGTGAGCACTGCAAAGATTCCTCAGGTAGGAATACCTCATTTTCCAGTTTGCTCACAAGGCGGGGGGGAAGGACCTGATAAGTTAAACAGTAAAAATACAGAGCCCATTTGGAAAGGTTCTCTATATATTCACAGCCTTATCTGTTGCTGTTAGTCTAAATACAGCAGCATTTTTAGAATATATGATGCCATTAATAAGTGGAAAGGGAAAAAAAATGCATTAAACACTCAAGAGTCCTTCATCTTCTACTATATCTTATAAAACTTCCATTTGTCAGTATGACTAGGGAGGTCCTTTTTTGAAAAAGGAAACTTAAATTAACATGTATCTGCACATCGGTAAATCAACACAAGAGGATGCTAGGAGTTAAGAATTCTTAAGTATTTTCTATGGCCAAAAGCTTGGAGTTTCCTACCAGTGGTAAAATCCTGACCCTACTGAAGACATCAGGAGTTCTCTCATTTTGCCACTGACTGAAGTCTAGGCATTCAATACCACAGTGAAAGCATGGTGACCCCCTCTCATGTCAAGGGGATCTCGAAGGTGGGGACGATGGTATGAGTTGCTGTTAGAACAGGAAAACCAAACCCAACCAGGTAAGGCCCATCCCTTCTCTAACTCATCCATGAGGCCAGCCTCCTAATGTATACAAAGTGTCCCACTGATGCCAGTCAATCTCTCTACAAACTTGGTGTCCACCTCAGTGATCTAATTTCAAGGCCTGTAACCAACACGCTGCTTGGTAGTGTCTTTCTGCACAGAAGCCACCTCCGTGCAAGCCATGCTTGCTTAGCTTTGATCGCATTAGAGTGACATCAACATACGATATGTTTTCTTTTCACGTTTTTTTGTAAAAAAACTACTACCGAGTATGTGAATTTCCTGTTTGTAAGTTTTATATTCTGTAAGTGACTGAGCAGCAATACAACTTTCGAAGAGGCTAAATGTCTACCATTTAACACTGGGGACGTGGAATGAAATTCTGGCCCCACTCAAGTCAGCAGAAGCTCTGCTATTGACTTCATGGGACTCTGCCAGGTTTCTTCCCTCCACAAAATTTGAGTGAATTTTGGAAGGCTGGAAGAGGATGCCCATTTGTCTTGTATTTTTTTTCTCCTCCAACGGCAAGATTTACTGCAAAATGAGAACACTGTAATGGCTAGTGGAAAAAATAAAGTACAAAATCACACACAGTGAAAGCCGCCTACTCTCTTTTGGTAAGATATATGAAGACAACTTCTTACATTGTTCTTTTCTCAAAAGGCATATACAATGTGGCAAAATATTTCAAATATACACTCTATATAATAAAATATCATCTAACTAGTGCATCCTCAATCATATGCTGGAAATATTTTTACCAAGCCAAGGTTTAAATTCCATAAATCTTTTGAACACTAGGTGCTTCATTCAAGGCAGATTCAACAGCAAGTAAATCCCACAAGCTCACTTTTCAAGCCTTAAAAGGTAGCAATGGATGGAAGATGACATATTATGACCCACAACAGAAATTAAAAGTCAGCGGTGAGAAACCACTGTAATGGTTCAGCACTCCACAGAACTCTGCATTGCAAGTTGTTGTACTTGGTCAAATGGTGGATGTTTGTACATGCAAATTAAAGTCACCTTGTCAGACTGACATACAGCCATACGTGATTATTCACAAGTTAAAAATAAAAATATAAAAGGTCAACATTCACACGTCCGTTGATTAAAGGGAATAAATTAAACAGATCAGTTGCATACATGGTTTCCTTCACCCTCAGTCTTTTATCTACGCCTATACAAGGAACAATACTTTCCCAAACACTTCTGAAGTGGCAAAAACAAATGAAGGTTTTTGCACTCTAGCTGTGTTGACAGCAAGTTCATCCTTGCCAATTATGAATCGAGACGGTTCCTCTGTCTCTTTAGCATCAGTGCACAGGGTATGGCTCCAAGTGGTGTGTTGGAGGAAGAAGAAGAAAAAAATATACGGTGGCTTAACAACAACAACAACAATCTTCTTCCATTCATCATTGGCAGAGTAAAACAAAAGTGTATCTTGTCCAGGGTACCTTGCTAGGTCCTCTCCAGAAGAGGTATGTACTGTCATACGTAAATGCCCTCCGGGTTAAAACCAGACGACAGGGGATTCTGTAGAATCCGAAGGTTACTGGGGAGTTGCCTCGATGAGCCAGGGCGCTTCAGTGACCCAGACTGAAATGTTGGCTCTGCACAAGAAAACGGGCAGTTAGAAAAGTCACCATCGTCAAGGGTGATGTCTGTAGGACACCCCTCTTCTTCCTGCTTACTGGTGCTCTTAGTGCCGTATAGAAAAACTAATACCACATACAACAAAAAATTCAAATGCCTGACTAGGAAGCGATGACATCTAAGGCGCATACCTCCTACTCATTTCAGAACAGAAAGATACACCTACTCGATATAAGTACCCTCCCACAAGGAGCATGCACACAGATATGTGCAATACACTTAGACAGTAATGTGCAGAAGGAGCTTGTACCTATATGTAACTCGAAGCTTCAGCTTCCTGCCTGCTTAAAAGAGAAACTTCATACAAGTTCTGACATTTAAGGCCCGGTTGTCTTTTCTTCTCTCCCCACCTCCTTACCCTCCCAATCCCTTTCGGTTATAGAATTTTCTAAGAGGAGGGACAGAGCCAGCTAAGGAGAATGCTGAGAGAAACAGGCCCCTTGCAAGCAGGGTACTGGATAAAGCACACCACAGCAGAGGAGTTTCTGCTTGTGCCACAGTTGTGACATGCATTCAAAGCGCTCTTGTGTTTCTGTGTAGGAAATTCTGAATTCAGATGTGGGCATGCGCTGATCTCACTAGGGGCAAAGTCAATTTGCACATGCCGTAACAGCCATCTGTGCAGGACTTCGGGATGGCTGGCAGCCCAGCTGGATTAGCTCCCGTTCCCGTGCGGCTGCTGTCTGGGATTTCTCGAGATCCAGACACATTCCTTTTTCTACTTTGACAAGACATCCCACCAGAAGAGGAAGAACCCAGATGAACAGCAATGCCAGATGTGCAATCATGTTGCGTGCCAGCTTACATGCCTGCAGCCATGGTGGCCACACTTGAAAGCCACTGGCCCAGCGGGTTACTGATAGAACGAACACATGCCTAGGCACACTGGGAGAAAAGTTATCTACATACTGCGCTTTATTTACAGCTTGCTAAACCCTTGGAATGAGGAGGAATATTTGACGCTGTGCTCGCTTAATATTTTGCTAACTTCTTTGCTAACAGAGCATCCACTCAATGTATCGGTGCTAGCAGTAAGGAAGCAGGTAAAGGCATTGCCATCCCCTTCTCCCACCCACCAAAAGCATTCTGGGTGCAGCACCTCTCTCAAGCTCCACGTGTGGGGCCTCCACCTCAACGGGGTCTGCTGGCAGCACCGTGACCTTCGTTCCCGTTTGCTGGATGAACTGTTGGAGATTGACCTGTCGCAGCTCCTTTGTCAGTTGCTCCAGTTCTTGTTCCCTGTCCTGCCAGGAAAGAGAGAACATCTGCTGAGCAGCAGCGAGCATCAAGCAGCATTTCAAGACTCTGTTTGCAACTGGGCAACTAACGCTTCTCCTTTTGATGAGAAAGCCTCCGATTTTTAAATTCAAATGTAAAATTGGAAGAGTTGAAAGGTATTTTACTCTCGTAATTTAGAAAGCAAATCAACACTCACTATTACTTATTAGGGGTTACTACTGGTCTGCTTATATTGCTTCTTGGATGACTAGCAGATATTTCTCATAGCACCCGAGAAAAATTTTGGCACAACAGATGTGAGCAAATAAAGGTAATAGGGAGCACCCTGAAAAAATACATCAACTGAGCATCAGTCTGGCACCGAATCTTAGCTCCACCAGAAGTTTCCAGCATGACTTGGACAGCTCATTTAGTTCTTCTGTTCCTAAAAGGAGAGTAATTCCCTTCTCTTCTTGTTCTTCGCGTTTTCTATTTAGAGTGTACATTTTTATGGACAGGACTCTCTCACTCTGCAAGCCTACTGTGTTTTGTACAATGAGGCCAAATCCTGGCTGGTTCACCATCCCTTCACAAGCACAGAAAATGATCATTTAGGATCTTCCTCAAGGATCTGTACTTATGGCATGATAGCAAAACCTACAGCTCCGATAGTTTATGACCGTCTTAGACTACAATTATTGCCTACCCCCACCCCCCCAGATTCAGCTTCGTTAGCAGACAGCTGCATGTGCTACTCTTCCACAGCCAGGATGGGTGTCCCCTCTTTGGCCACACAGGGGATGGGCCAGCTACCCAGATCCCAGGCAGCACATCTGCGGGAACTCCATGCCTCTACATCTTCATTTTGGCAAGAGATGGAGGTTGGGTCAACCTTTTCCCTCATTACCTTGTGTAAGCAGAATTATACATGAACTCACACAAGGATTGGGGGAGAAGAGTTTTGTGGATCTGTTCCAGGAACAGTCCCCAACAGCACAGCTCTTACTCACTTTAAACTTGAGGTAAGGGCACAGCTGAGGCTGAATTCAACAGCTAGTAAGAAAATTAACACAACTGATCTGATGTCTAAATTAGGACCTTTTAAATGCCAATTGCTTGTCACTGATGTGTTCGACCTGCTCAGTCAATGCCTATCGTGGTTGGTCTCAGCTTCCCGTGCTAGACTTGTACTTCCATTCAATGGCTAGGAGCTTTTGGAGGAACAGGACTGAGAAATGGAAACCAGGCCCCCTCCAAATTTTAAGACAATTCTACAGAAAAATTCTTCAATTTATTTTAGGCCTGTTAGACTCTACAACTGGGCACTTGGGACACAGGAAATTCTCGAAACTGTCTTTACTTCCTACAATGTTAATTATACAGCTCGGTGTTTTATGAGATTGTAACAAAGTTGCCACTGAAGGGAATTCAGTTTTTTAAAAAAACCTGAATCACTGAAATACTCAGGTTAGCAGAACTAACATAAAAAATAATTTGTTCTTGACATTTCTCAACTTTCACAGGAAATAAGGTAAAAATGTTAAGTACCACCCCACATCCTACTGGTTTAAGCTCTTAAATTTAGTATCTGTGAAACTTTAGTGAGATCTTTTACCTGAAGAAGGTTGGGTTTTAGTTTTTGGGGTTGTTTTTTTGAGGGGTTTCTTGTTAGGTTTGGGGGGGGTGTTGCATTTAAAATTTCTCTAGAAATAGGGAGAGCAGAGTTCTGCATCTGATCCTTAACTGAACATTGCCTTGTATTGTTATGGAGATGGCTAGAGAAAAGGAACGAAAGAGAAGAGGAAGGACAAATTACTAGAAATTTCTCACATGCTATTAAAAAATATCACCTTCCTGTTCTTATCACTTGAAATCTAGTGAACCAAAATTTTCTTTCCTCCCTTACTGAAAGGTCTATGAACACACCTTGCTCAACTCTTCTAGTTTCAAATCAGCAGTTCTATGAATATTAATATTTAACTTGCTGCATGCAATAAAATATTTCTCTATTTCCTCCCCCCAAAACTGTGCAATACAGAGGTGAGTTTACTTTCTCCTGGACTTCCAGATTAGTGCACCTTTAGGTTTAGAACAAGCTCAGAGGATCTGAATTTAACGGGAACTTTCCTGAGAAACTGAAACCCTAACCTATGAAAAACAAATAAAGCGAGAAAGATTTTGAACTCAATCATAGCCTCACTGAGTGTTACTGAGGATAGGTAAAATGTATAAAGAGGACTTGATGCTTTCTGTTAGTGCAAATCCTTAAGCATAGTGTATCTGGAAACTTAGGACAGATAAACATGGCCAAAACTGCTTACAGTTTTCATCTGTTTTGCTTTGGATGAAAAGATTACATTTCTCTCCCTCTTCATTTAGTAAACCCAGCTTATACTGACATGGTTCTAGGTGCTCAGGAGTAAGGATGCAAAATCCCTTTAAATATTCACAGCAGAATCACCCTACTGCAACTGCAGCACTGCGGAATACAGTAACTGTGAATCCCAGGAATACAGCAAGAATCGCAACTCAAACTGATGCATGGTGCCTCAGTCCCATCTTACATTGCACATTAAAATTCCAGGAGCCACAATCTGTCCTTCACCTCACCCAGCCAGCAGCTGGATTTCCATTTATATTTATTCCTTCATGCTCTATCAAGTCCCAAGTGATATCATAAACTTTAGCAAGGAAGCAGGGACTGGATTCTCTTGTGACACGTGCCACAATGCCTGAGGTGGAGGGAAAGGAAAATCCCGAACATCAGCAAGTCAGACTCAAAAAGGGAAATGCTATTCTTTAAAACAAAGGTGCTATAAGCTAACAGTTATTTTAGCTCTACATCTATTTATCCAGGTGCTGCTTTTGGACTGTTCCTTTGAATTAATCTGTTTTGGTGGCAAACAGACCTAGCAAGAATCAGAAATTTCACCTCAGAAAGGGCTGTTGTAGTGCAAATTTCCCTGAAATTTAACAATATGAGTCACTGAGCCGCCAAGACCCAGGACCTAAATCCTCAAGACACCTAACCCCAAATCAACAAGGGTTTAAAGACCAATACTTTTAAAGGCATTAGCCCGAGAGCACTACGCTCGTGTTTAGCAATACCACAATCTCCTGCTAACCCTAAATGCGCTGTTGTTCACGAAGAAGATATTATTTGTCCGAGGTGTAAAAGCGCCCAGACCCACTAGCACAGCAGCTCCTCAGTGGAGCTAGCGAGCGCTCCCTCTCAGCAGGGCGAGGTGGACAGATGCATTGCCATGGGTGCAGCCATACCGCCCTCAGTAGCGTGGCTGATGTTAGCTCTGGTCTTTCTCTGTCATGGACCACTGCATGGTGGAGACAGGCTTCAAGTGATTTCTCAGAGGTCACCAGGCAGTCAGGGAATGGTAGCAAACCAAAACTGTAACCGATGGGAAAGAAACTGAGCCAGCACGTAAATAAATGAAAGGTGGTGTGGCACGTGGCACTAACCCTGCAGGCCACCTAGGTCTTTTGAATGGCCAGGAATACATCCACCAAAACGTCTGCTGGTTTATCTTGAGACAAAGAACCAACTACTGTTTTCTTTTCAGATGGTTTGAATGAGTAAAATACACACAGGTGAAACAAAAATTGTCTGCTCTTCAAACAAAACCTAAATGCAATTTGAAAATGAAAGCAACGCTTTCTTCCTTTTACCCAAATTCACTGTGGAAACTGTCTCATGTTTTCTTTCATGGGCTCTAAAACTGTGTAAGAGAAATTTGTTACAGTCAGGTCTTTGACTTGTCTTTAGCTATGGATAAAAAGCACGTTCTTACCTGTAACCGTTTGGTAGCTTGGCCCAAAGACCGTTCTACAGCTTTAATGCCATTTTCCAATCTCAGACTCTGCTGACCCTGAATATCAATTTCACCCTTCACCTTCTCGATCTTCTCCTTAACCTCTTCTTCGTTCACTTGGGACTCTTGAACTTCCCGCTGCAACTTCTCTGCTTCAAGGCCGCTCTCCATATTGTGGATCTGAGACATGTAGTCCTTCAGCTTGCTCTCGCACTCCAGGATCCTCTGCCTCATCTCCTGCAGCTGCTCCTTCAGCTGTTTTTCGTTCTCCTGCTCGATCTGCAGCTCATTTTCCCAGAACTCTTCCTCTTCAATCTCCACTTCGTTCCTTTTGATCTTCTGCTCTAGCTTGAGGATTTCTTCTTCCAGGCTGGAGTTATACTTTTGTTCCCAGTAGCGGATCTCGGCTTCGTTGGACTCCAGCTGTTTCTCGATGCACTGAAGCTTCTCCGTCTGGAGGTGGATCAATTTCTTCAACTCATCCGCCGTTGTTTTACAGTTGTTGAGCACCTTTTGCTTGAACTCGGATTCCTTGCTTTTCCCAAAGATGTCCATTAACCCTTTGGCCCCCCCAGTGAAGGTGAGGGATTTCCTTTTCGGCTCCCTCCTCTTCATGGATTTGTCGCCGGGAGGCCTCAGCTTGGCCAGGGGCGGTAAGCTTTGCCGGTACAGAGTCCTCTCCGGGATGCGCGCCACGCTATCCGAAGTCGGCCGCTCGCTCAGAGAGGGCCCGGTGCGGCGCAGGATCAGCTGCACGTCGCTCGCGTACTGTCCCCACTTGTTCAGCGACACGATGGGGTTTTCGTGAGGCGCCAGGTGCCTCTCGGTGTCCCGCCATTTCTCGATCAGCGTGTACCTCCC